CGGGTGGGCGTTGGGATCCCCCGGGGTGGGGTGGGACCCCCGTGAGAACGTGGCGAGGAGCCCTCCGGGTGAGGGGTGAGGTGCTGTGAATGTGGGGACCGGTTTCAGCAGGTGGGGCAGGGATTCCTGGGGCTGGCAGGGGCTCTGAAGGCAGGGGTCAGGGCAGGGTCAGGACAGGGGTCCAGGCAGGGTCAGGGGGTCAGGGCAGGGTGTCCAGGCAGGGTTAGGGGGTCAGGGCAGGGGTCCAAGCAGGGTTAGGGGGCCCAGGCAGGGTTAGGGGGTCATGACAGTGTCCAGGGCAGTGACCCCACACCACAGAGCAAGGACCCCTTTCCCCAGCTCCTCCCCACAGGGAGGGGACCCTCACCCCCCTCAGCCCATCCCGGTCACAGCACACGGGTGACCAGAAACATTTAATGGTATTTGCGTAGAAAACAGTACAAAAAGTACAAAAACTGGGGAAGGGGCAGGGAGGCCGTGAGGTTTGGCTGCTCCGAGGCACCGGGATCCCCATGGCCAGCAGAGGTGACAATGACAAGACGTGACACTGGCAGTGGATCCCTCAGCGTCAAGGCCTCAGAAATCTCCTTGCAGATCTGAAAAGAGGAGAAATGGGAAGGTTTTTTCCAGACAAAGGAAAGCTGTCACAGCAACAGCCATCACTCAGCTCCCTCCTTGTGTCCCCTCTCTGTCACCAACCCTTGTGGTCCCAGATGCAGTGGGACAGACCCCAAATCCAATGGGAGACTCCCAAATCCAACCCAAAATTCAATGAAAGACCCCCAAATCCAAAAGGACAGACCCCAAATCCAATGGGAGACCCCCAAATCCAACAGGGGACCCCTATATCCATTATCAGAGCCAGAAGGCCCCACTTGGGGTCCGTTCTGGGGACACTCACCGCTCCGACGGATCCGCTCTCCCCGCCGGGCGCTTTCCATCCCCTCCACGAACTGCTCGAAGACCCTCACGTAAGGGGCCAGGCTTGTCTTCCTATAGTCTGGAGGATTTGGGGAGTGGGCAGGAGCAGGAGTGGGTGCTGGGGACCCCAAAACTCCAACCCTGAGCTCAAGACCCCAACCCTGACACCCCAAACCCTGATCCTAACCCCCCAAACCCAAACCCTAAACCCCAAAACCACAGCCTTGAACCCCAAACCCTGGCCCTGACCCCAAACCCCATCCCTGACCCCAAACCCCTGCCCCTCTCACCCCTCGCTCGGCGTTTCGGCTCCGTCTCCCCGACCTCCTCCTGCTCCCCGTCGCTGCCGGCCGTGTCCAGCTCCTGGCACAGGGATCTGCCGGACAAACGGGATGAGCTGGGGGGGCTCTGGCACCACCAGGACCCCCCCCCGGTGCTGCCAGCTCACGTACGTGATGGTGGGGACGGCAAACGGGTCAAACTGGTCCAGACTCTGCAGGTCCAGCGGCACCGAAATGCGGCCTGCGACAGAGCGGGGTCACTGCCCAGCCTGGGCCCTTTTGCCTTTCACATTTTCCAGATTCTGCCCTCAGTTTTGGCTTTCATATTTTCCAGATTCTGCCCTCAGTTTTGGCTTTTATATTTTCCAGATTTTGCCCTCAGTTTTGGCTTTTATATTTTCCAGATTTTGCCCTCAGTTTTGCCTTTCATTTTCCAGATTCTGCCTGCATTGGTGCTGACACTTCCCACAGAGTGTCAGCGAATTCCCCTCACAGCTCAGACACACCAATCCTTTTCCAGCCCCAGAGCCAAGGGCACCGCTGCAGTTTCAGCCCCAAAAAGTGGAATTGAGGAGAGCAAACTGTGAGGATGGGACTCCAAAACCTGAAGCTGCAATCACACAATTCACCCCAACACGCAAATGGAATTTTGAATTTGGAAACGCACCGAAACTTATCAAAGTGTGAAAACTCCGGGCTCACTCTTGCACTGCCCAAGGTGCGTCCTTTGACGGCCCTTTTTAACAAATCCCTACTTTATTCCAGGAGCCTCTCCAGGCACCCACCCCACACTCACCTGTTTTGGGGTGGACGCTGAAGGGGCTCTTGAGGAGGTGGCCGAGGCCTTTGCTGACGTTGATGTCGAGGCGGGGGAAGCAGAATTGCAGCATCACCTCCCAGTCGGCGTAGCTGGGCCCCAGGGCCGCGGCCCGGCCGCCCCGCAGCCGCTCCAGCCGGGCCCGCAGCAGCTCCCAGCGCTGCACAGAGTCCTTCTTCTTGGGGAACTCGGCCTGCAGCGGCTCCCGGTGCTGTGCTGGGGAGGGTCAAGGCTCATCCCGGACTCTTCCCCGTGTTTTACTGTTCCAGGACCTCATTTAGCCTTTCCAGGATCCCATTTACTCTTCCAAGACCCCATTTACCCTTCCAGGATCCCATTTACCCTTCCAGGATCCCATTTACCCTTCCAGGATTCCATTTACACTTCCAGGATCCCATTTACCCTTCCAGGATCCCATTTACTCTTCCAAGATCCCATTTACCCTTCCAGGATCCCATTTACCCTTCCAGGATCCCATTTACCCTTCCAGGATCCCATTTACTCTTCCAAGATCCCATTTACCCTTCCAGGATCCCATTTACCCTTCCAGGACCCCATTGACCCTTTCCAGGACCCCATTTATGCTGACAAGCCTCTTTACTTGTCCAGGACCTCATTTACACCTCAGGACCCCACTGACCCCATGTTTTAATCCCATTTTAACCCCATGTTTTAATTTTAACCCCACGTTTTAACCCCATTTTAACCCCGTATTTTAATTTTAACCCCATGTTTTAATCCCATGCTTTATTTTTAATTCCATGTTTTAATTTTAACCCCATGTTTTAATTTTAACCCCATTTTAACCCCGTGTTTTAATCCCATTTAACCCCATGTTTTACATTTTAACCCCGTGTTTTAATCCCATTTAACCCCATGTTTTAACCCCATGTTTTAATTTTAACCCCATTTTAACCCCATGTTAACCCCATGTTTTAACCCCATTTTAACCCCATGTTTTAATACCATTTTAACCCCATATTTTAATTTTAACCCCATGTTTAACCCCATTTTAACCCCATGTTTTAATTTTAACCCCATTTTAACCCCATGTTTTACTTTATGTTTTAACCCCATTTAACCCCATGTTTTAACCCCATTTAACCCCATGTTTAACCCCATTTTAACCCCATGTTTTAACCCCATTTTAACCCCATGTTTTAATTTTAACCCCATTTTAACCCCATGTTAACCCCATGTTTTAACCCCATTTTAACCCCATGTTTTAATTTTAACCCCATGTTTAACCCCATTTTAACCCCATGTTTTAACCCCATGTTTTAACACCATTGGTGAATAATAATAATGATAATTAATAATAATTAATTAATGATAATTAATAACGGGGTGAATATTTTCACCCCATTTTAACCCCTTGCGTGCCCTCCCTCCCCAGCTCCGGGAAGGAAGGATATCCTCCGGGATGAGTGCCAGCACCTTGTCCCATTTCTCGGGGCTGCCCAGGATGTCCTGCCCCAGCAGCGCGTACTCCTCGAAGTATTTCTCCACCACGCCAACCGAGCGCCTGCGGGGAGCAGGGTGGGCTCAGCGCCCGCCGGTGCCCACCGGGATGGGCACAAGGGTCCTCACCCACCTGATGAAGGGGTGGATGGGGTGG